TCCAGCTCCCTGCTAGTGTGTCTGAGAAAGCATCAGAAGATATCCCTGGTGTGTGGACTCCTGCATCTATATGCTGGAGACCCTGGCTTCTGACTTTGGCCCTTAGCTCTGGCAGTTTGTGGTCATTTAGGGAATGAATCAATGAACGGAATATTCTCTCTCTGTCTTTCCTCCCTCCCCCTGCAACTCTGCCTTTCAAAGGTGTAAATATATCTTTAAAAAAGTCAGAGGCAAGAGCTACATAAATGAGCTATGAAGGTTTCTTGTCTTCAGCTGAGTTACTGCAGCTGATCGGTACACATAGGTAAGAAAAACGAACATGGGTAGAGAAAGCATCACCAGAAAAGAGCAAGCTGAATAGTATTTGAGGTTCTCCAGGACCAAAGACAGCGTATGTTTCAATCAGATAGAAAAGAAACACAAACACCAAGCAGAATCTCTGGAAGGTACTGGTTCAGTGGTTGAACTGAGTGAATCCCAGACTAATGGCATTTTTGGATCTTCCTGACACAGCTAAAAATTAAACCTTGAAGTAATCAGATTGTTTCTGAGGAATCCAACTGCATCCTAGAACAATCCTCCGTCCAACACACACCCAAACATTTAAAGCGACACAAAGATCTTTGGCACAGTAACATACAATTGAAGATTGGAAGGCACTGGAAGAAGCAAAAACCGATCAATAGAAACAGTACTGGGCCCAGCGCGGTGGCGCAAGTGGTTAAGGTCCTTGCCTTGCATGCCCGGGATCCCATATGGGCGCAGGTTCTATCCCGGCAGCCCCGCTTCCCTTCCAGCTCCCTGCCTGTGGCCTGGGAAAGCAGTCAAGGACGGCCCAAAGCTTTGGGAACCTGCACCTGCGTGGGAGACCCGGAAGAGGCTCCTGGCTTCAGATCGGCATAGTATCGGCCATTGCGCTCACTTGGGGAGTGAATCATGGGATGGAAGATCTTCCTCTCTGTCTCTCCTCTCTGTATATCCGCCTTTCCAATAAAAAAATAATAATAAAAGAAGAAACAGTACCTATTCATGCTAAAACTCGCAGCAAACTAGGAAATACAAGAAAACTTCATTTACCTACTAAAGAGTAAAAAAAAAAAAAAAAAAAGTAGAAAATCTGTAGGTAACAACACATTCAAAGGGAAAAGAAAAAATGCTTTTCCACCAAGATTAGAAACAAAACAAGGTTTGTCCTTAATATATCTTTTCTGGAAATCACAGCCACTGTAGTAGGACAAGTACAAGCAGTAACATTTTTCAAATTGTCAAAGAAGATGTAATATAAACCAATACAATGTGAAATGAGCCCAGAAATGTAACACTATAGAGTCCAGAAAAATTCACACACATAGTTGGCCAACTGATTTTTAAAATATATATATTTATTTGCAAGAGTGACAGAGAGGGAGAGACACATACACGGAGAGAGAGAAACGGGGAAGGGGATCTTCCATTTGCTATTCACGGCCCCCCAAATGCCCAGGACAGCTGGAACTAGGCCAGGCGGAGTTGAGGAGCACTGAACTCCACCTACTTGTCCCACATGGGGTCAGACACCGGAACTAGTCAGCATCTGTTGCCTCCCAGGTGTGTCAGCAGGGAGCTGGTTGAGGAGACTTGATGCCAGAGTGCCCCAATGGTTCTACCTGCTGTGTGTGCAACAACGTTTTCCCTGACAAAGAGCCAACGTAAAATGAAAGAATAATCCATGTATTTACAAATTGGTGTTGGACTAATTGGATACTAATTTTGGATATACAAAATTAGATATTTATGTTATGCAAAATTAGATATTTATATATATGTGATTTTTTTTAAATTGGAAACTCAAATTATTTATACAGAGAGGAGAAACAGAGAGAAAGATCTTCTGTCCACTGGTTCACTCCCTAAGTTGGCTGCAATGGCTGGAGCTAAGCTGATTTGAAGCCAGGAGCCAGGAAGTTTTTCCAGGTCTCCCACATGGGTGCAGCGTCCCAAGACTTTGGGCCATCCTTCACTGCTTTCCCAGAAAGCCCCTTTATGTTGTAAATTTTTAGGAGCTAAAAACAAGAAACAAACAAACAAAAACCTTATAGAAAGTAGTAATATGTAAGCCATGATAGTAAAATCACCGATTTTAGAAAAAAATTGTATATGGTACAACTTTTTTAGGTTTTATTTATTTTTATTGGAAAGTCAGATTTACAGAGAGAAGGAAACTCAGAGCAAAAGATCTTCCACCTGCTGGTTCACTCCCCAAGTGACCATAATGGCTGGAACTAAGGTGATCTGAAGCCAGGAGCAAGGAGCTTCTTCTGGGTCTTCTGTGCAGGCGCGGAGTCCACTGACTGACATGTTCTCTTCATGGTTGTGGTTGTGGTTCTGAGATCATATGCTCTGAGATTCTTGCTCAGGTGGTTTTGATAGTTCACCAATTATGAATCACTGCCAGTCTCACCACTCCAAGCACGATGAGGTTGTTGCTGAAGAATCCACTGATTGACATAGGCCATCTTAAGAGTCTCCGTTTGCCCATTATTTTGCTGCCAACATATGGCTGAGGTGGTTGATTCGCTTCCCATCCAGCTCCCTGCTCGTGGTCTGGGAAAGCAGTTGAGGACGGCCCAATGCTTTGGGACCCTGCACCTGTGTGGGAGACCCTGAAGAGGCTCCTGGCTTCGGATCGGCATAGCATTGGCCGTTGAGCTCATTTAGGGAGTGAATTATTGAACGGAAGATCTTCCTGTCTCTCCTCTCTGTATATCCGGCTTTCCAATAAAAAAAAATAATAAAAATAAATCTTTAAAAAAAAAAAAAGAATGGGGGCCCGGCGCGATGGCGTAGTGGTTAAGGTCCTCACCTTGCATGCCTGGGGTCCCATATGGGCGCAGGTTCTATCCCGGCAGCCCCGCTTCCCTTCCAGCTCCCTGCCTGTGGCCTGGGAAAGCAGTTGAGGACGGCACAAAGCTTTGGGACCCTGCACCCGTGTGGGAGACCCAGAAGAGGCTCCTGGCTTCGGATCGGCATAGGATTGGCCGTTGCAGCTCACTTGGGGAGTGAATCATCGGACGGAAGATCTTCCTCTCTGTCTCTCCTCTCTGTATATCCGTCTTTCCAATAAAAAAATAATTAAAAAAAAATCTTAAAAAAAGAATGGGCAAATGCCGGCATTTACGAGCATTCCTTAAAAGGGGAGCAGAGAGAGAGGAAAAGAGGGGTTTAAGTGAGAGGGAGAGAATCTTCCCTCTGCTCGTTCATTCCCTAAATGTTTGCTATGGATAAAGCTGGCCCAGGTTAATACACAAGCTAGAAGCTTCATTTGGGTCTCCTATGTGGGTGCAGGGGCCTAAGGAGTTGAGCTGTTTTGTGCCAACATTCCATATGAGAACACCGATTTGGGTTCTAGTTGCTCTGCTTCCGGTACAGCTCCCTGTTAAAGCAGCGTAGAAAAGCCCAAGAACTCAGGCCCTGCTCCCCACGTGGGCGACCTGGACGGAGTTCCTGGCTCCCAGCTTTGAGCCATGACCACTGTAGCCATTTGGAAAGTGAAATGGAAGATCTCTTTATCTGTTTCTCTCCCTCTTTTCTTTTTCAAATAAATTATACAAATATTTAAGAAAATAGGCATAGCAGTGAGTACTGTTTATTTAATAACTATGGGTCATACTACTATTTAATTCATGTTTAGGTTTGCATCTTAGAGAATGCTCTCTATATAATCTTATATAATCTACATGTGATACTATTTGTGTTGAAAATTTAAGTGCCTAAATATAATTAGTATTAAATCCATTTCATGATTATGAGAAAGTCATAATACAAGCCACAAGCAATTTAAAATTTTTACTTCTCAACAAAGAATCTCAGAATACCTGCACAGCTTCATGTTATTGAGTCACCAGCATCAGCAGTGACCTCCTACCTCTGCTTTCCCTTTTTTCTTGGCAACTGGCATGGTGGTCTGCAAGAATGAGTAATAATGACTGTATGAATAAGAAATTATTGATTTTTGGCATTTATTCAGATAATCAGTGTTATATGAAATCCTCAATATTACTTATTAGCACTAATAATAGTAAATGGGGTTGCAAACCTTTATTTTTTGCTTCTGGTATTTTATTAGTGATCCATACTGTGTCTGTTTAGAGGTTAAAAGTGACTGCCACTACAAACTTCTCTTCATGAGCACATGATGATGGGATTGCCTGAGTCCCTCTCAAAAACCAGATACAGCAATCTCCAAATATGGGGTTAGTTTAGTATAGGAAAAAATATAGTACTAAATACAAGTATACTGAATACACTTTCAAGTTCTAAATTAAAGTATTGGCTTTTTCTGATTTCAAAAGAAATACTGTTAAACAGGTCAGCATAAAAAGAGAAAAAAACAAAAGCACTAGCAAACACTCCCCCTAGATACACCTCCTTTATACATTTCGGAGGTTAGCTTTCTAGTTTTATTTTTTCCTAAAACCTACATTTTTCCCCCAGAATAATGCTAACTTCCTCAAAGCTGAAGTAAGATATAAAAATACAATACAGTATAATGTGCCCTACCCTTCTCTCTCTCTAATTTTAAAGATTTATTTTATTGGAAAGGCGGATATACAGAGAGGAGAGACAGAGAGGAAGATCTTCTGTGCGATGGTTCACTTCCCAGGTGGCTGCAACGGATGGAGCTGAGCCAATCTGAAGCCAGGAGCCTCTTCCGGGTCTCCCGCACAGGTGCAGGGTCCCAAAGCTTTGTGCTGTCCTCAACTGCTTTCCCAGGCCACAGGCAGGGAGCTGGAAGGGAAGCGGGGCTGCCAGGATTAGAACTGGCACCCATATGGGATTCCGGGCGTGCAAGGTGAGGACCTTAACCACTACGCCACCGCACCGGGCCCACCCTTGTCTTTTGATAGACACTATTTCTAATTCATTTTTTAGATGTCAGATTTGGACTTGGCATTCCAAATTCGTAACTAAAGGAACACATTTACATTTTCATTAAAAGAGAAATGAGAAAACAAAAGAACTTCAGATGAATATTTTAATTATATAACACAAAACAGTTGCATGTGTACCTGTATATACACACATATACACAATTTTATATACACATACAACTATTTACAAATATGTAATCACACTGGAAGAGATGTATTAGAATACTGGTGTACGTTTCTTTCTCATTGTTCTGTAACATACTCAATGACACCTTATACTGAGGTAGGACTATTTTAGTGCTATAAAATCTTATATAAGTGAATTTGCTCAAGAGCTTCTCTGTCAATATCCATTTGTGGGTATACATCATAGTTCAGTGGTATCTCTTCAACCCAGGAGGATAACTGTACATTAGTCTAGGAAAAGAAAAGATAAGCAAACATAAAAATTACAGAATAATCCTACTCTTGGAAATTTCATGAAATCATGACTCAAAGTAAAACAACAGATTTTTGTCATAGCGAGTACGATTTAGTCTACACAGTGTCACATCAGTAAATTTCAGAAAAAAATTCATTTGAAAGACTGCATGACAAGAGAGAGAAATGGAGACAGAACTATATATAGGGAGATTTTTTTTCATCCACTGGATCATTCCTAAATGGCCAACAGCCAGGTCTGGGCAAGGCTGAAGCCAGGACATAATATGGGATGCTACTATTGTTAAGTAGTGATTTAATACACTGTGCCACAACACCAGTCCCTGGATATTTTTGTTTCTTTCAACTGGAAGGTCTATGTATTTAGGAATTCAATTTACTCTGATTTTAGAACTTAGGAGGATAAAGAAAACACAGAATAATTTTATCAGAACTAGTTTAATAACTATCATTAGGCTTACACAATAGTGCAACAATAGGAATACATGGAAAACAAAGAAAAACAGTTCATATATCCACAGTGACAGTGCTAAAGATTTGCGTAAGGTATTTGTAGTGGGGTGGGAAAAGGAAGGTAAATCTTCCTGCATTGTTTTCATCAAATCTCTTTCCCTTTGACTGTCACAGAATCCTAAACCACTACAACTACTGAACAGATCTCTTTAAAGAAGCTTGCTTAATGGGCAGGCAGTAGCAATTGCAGTGCCAGCATCCCATATGGGCACTAGTTTGTACCCTAGCTGCTCCACTTCCCATCAAGCTTTTGGCCTGGGAAAGCAATGGAGGATGGCCCAAGTCCTTGGGACTCTGTCACATGGGAATGAAATAGGAAACCGGAGAATTTAACAGTTTCTTAAAAAAAAAAAATCTGGGGCTGTGCATATGGGTACCAGTTTGAGTCCCAGTTTCTCCATTACCAATGCAGCTCCCTGTAGCGTGCATGGGAAAGCAGTGGAGATGATCCAAATCCTTGGGTTGCCCCCTCACAGGGAGACCTGGAATGATGGCCATAGGCCAGCACAGCTCCAGTCACTGCAGCCATTTTGGGAGTGAAGATCTCTCTCTCTCTGTATCTGCTCTTTTTCCCTGTAAATCTGCCTTTCAAATAAATAATTCTCTTAAAAAAACCCCTGTATGGGTCTGGAACAATGGCTCACCTGCAAATGCCAGGATTTCATACAGAGACCAGTTTGTGTCCTGGCTGCAACAATTCCCTTCCAGCTCCCTGCTGTGGCCTGGGAAAGCAGTCGAGGATGGCCCAAAGCCTTGGGACCCTGTATCCACTTGGGAGACCCAGAGGAAGTCCTGGCCCCTGGTTTTGGACTGGCTCAGCTCTGGCCATTGTGGCCATTTGGGGAGTGAACCAGAGGACAGATCTTTCTCTGTCTCTCCTTCTTAGTAAATCAGATCTGCTTATTCAATAAAAATTAAAATTTCTGAAAGATTTTATTTGGAAAGTCAGATTTACAGAGAAAAAAGAGACAAAGATCTTTCATCCACTGGATCACTCTCCCAAATGGCTACAACAGCTGGAACTGAGTTGCTCCAAAGCCAGAAGGAGCCTCTTCTGGGTCTCCCACATGGGTTTAGGGTCTTAATCTTTGGGCCGTCCTTGACTGCCTTCCCAGGTACAAGCAGGGAACTAGATGAGAACTGGAGCAGCCCGGACATGAACCGGTGTTCATATGGAGTACTGATGCATCCTAGGCAAGGATTTTAGCTACTAGGCTACCGCACTGGGCCCAATAAAAATAAATCTTAAGAACAAAAAAATCCCCAAAACAAAAAACAAAACGCTGTGACCAATTTTGCCTGTTTTTAGAGGCATGAAATATTTTTGATATTTAGATTAATAGTTTTTAAAAGATGAGATTGCTGATTGTTTAGTTCTTGAAGAAACAGGTTCTTAGATTATTTGTACATACCTGATTCCAGAAGCTTTGAATAATTCCTTTTCTCTTGTTACAGGGATCAAAATTTTTGAAACATTCCATGGTGTATGTTAAGCTAAAACTATACCCTCAAAAAATTGTGTAAGAAATCAAAGGAATGATTAGTAAAATAAAAACTGCAACTTCAAAGATTTTTAGGCCAATAAACCATCAGCAGGCACTTGAGCTGCAAGGTGTTGGCATTCCATCATCTGTCCGTATTTTCAGATAGAACCTTTCTAGAATATCCCAACAACTAATAGAAAACAGCTGAAAGAGAGGTTCTAACAGAAAAAACGCTAAGAGAGAGGTCAACATACCTGCAGACCTGAGAGAGACTCCTCAAGACTCGGCACCGTCACTAATAAGGATCCTCGCTTCCTTACGTTATGGCTGATGCATTCCCAGGCTCTACAACACATTGAGAACAGCTCTGTCAAACAAGAGGATGCCACCACATACCTTTTAGAATGGCCCAGATCCGGGACACTGATGACACGGAGGATATGGAAACATGTCGGCAGTCGTTCCATGTAGGTGTGAATAGAAAACCATGCAGTCACTTTGCTGGTTCCTCATAAAACTAAACTTGCTCTTACCATACAATCCAGCAATTGTGCTCCTTGGTATTTACCAACAGGGTGGAAGATATACGTCCACAAAACCCTGCATACAGATGTTTAAAGCAGCTTTCTTCATTGCTGCCAAAACTTGGAAACAACTAAGATGCTCTTCGCTAGGTGAGTGGATCTAGTGGTACATCTAGACAATGGAACAGTATTCAGCACCAAAGAGAAATGAACTTCCTAGGCAGGAAAAGGCATGGATGGACCATAAACGCACATCACTAAAGTGAAAGGAGCCAATCAGAAAAAGCCTATGTTGTCTGATTTCAACTGTGACTATATGACTATCTGGAAAATGCAAAAACAATTCATTTCCAAAGCAGAGTGAGGGACAGAAAGCAAGCTGTTCCATCTGCTGGTTTACTTCCAGATGGCCACAATAGACAAGGCAGGGTCAGGCCAAACCTGGGAACCAAGAACTCCAGTGAGGTCTCCCACACTGGGGGCTGAGCTGCACGTACTTGACTATCTTGTTATGCTTTTCGAGATGGATTGAAAATGGTTCAGCAGGAGGTGGCTAAATCTGCTATGCTATATAACTATGTCCAAATTACTATTTTAAAAAATAATTTATTATTTGTTTTGAAAGGCAGAGGGAGAGAGAAGGAGGGAGGGAGACAGTACACACTTCTACTCACTAATTTATCTCCCAAACACAAAGGCTGAATTGAGTGTAGAATAAGCTAAGAGCCGAGAAATCAATGCAGGCCTCTCACTTGGATGGTAGGAATCTGGTTACTCGAGCCATAACCACGGACTCCCATGGTCTACATTGGCAGGAAGCTGTAATCACAAGTTAGGAGCCAGAGCTGGGAATTCAACCCAGGTACTTCAACGTGGGATGTAGGCATCCAAGCTACGAGGCTAAACACTTGCTCTCCAAGCCCCGAGAAGGCTCCAGGTCAGAACTGGTTCCACATACTGGCAAAGGGCTAAACATGGTAGAAGTGAGGGCACAGAAGAAGCATGGAGGAACTAAGGGCACAGAAGCTAGCAGAAGATTAACAAGATAAACAAGAAACGTGTACTTCAAAAATCAAGTAATCAATAATATTTAATGGTTTTCTGGCACAACAAGACATTTGAGAAGTTTAGTGGGATCTGCCAGCTTGAATGCATGCTGGAATGTCATGTGTATATATCAGGGGCAGTGCTTATCTGATCCAGTGCAGACATGAGCTGTATTTTTACACTGTGCATCTGGATAGTGGACCACACAGCCAGGTGTAATGATCAAGATACTGGGGTGCGCATCTTTTGCCGGGGCCCAAGCAGATAGTAGTACCATTTACACTCACTGTAGTTAAAGCAACTGCTATTAGGTTAAGTAAGTTCTGACGCTATGAGGCAAACATGTTAGAAATGCTCTTGTTTTCAGGCTAGATAAAACACCATGTATCAATTTCATTTTAATATTGTGTTTTGGCTAGAGCTGTTTTGATGTGATTTCTAAGAATGGCATGGTTATGTTCCTGGTGACAGTCACCAAGTTAGCTGAATTTATTAAACAAAAAAGCTACAGAGCTGGGTTGTTGCCCTGTAGAAAGATCTCACCTATTCTGGAAGCTTGGCCTTTCCGGAGTACACATTTCCTGTGGGCCTTTATACTCTGTATTGCCTTGAGTTTATGACACATTATTGAATCATGTTCCTAATCTATTACATGAATATAAGAGAGGTCTTAAGACTATTATCTTGGAAAACAGGCAGATGGTTTTCTCTTGCAAACTAACTCCCACATTGTATCATGTCCTCTGCCTTTGCCTTGGGTGGTAAATGCTGTGCCATCTGTTATGATTCATGTGCTTCCAAACAGGGTTACTACAAATGGTCACCTCAGTCAGAACAATTCCAGTATCAGATGCTTTACTGTACCTTCTAAACTGCCACAGTTTAAGGTATTTTTCAGAAATTTAAAAAAAAAAAGTATTTATTTTTATTTACTATTGGAATTATAGAGAGGGCGAGACAGAGTTGCTGCTTTACTCCCCAAATGGCTATGACGGCTAAGTCAAGGCCAGGCCAAAGCCTGAAGCCAGGAGCTTCACCCTGATCTACACGGATGCAGGGGCCTAAGGATCTGGGTGACCTGCTGCTGCTTCCCCAGGCACATTAGCAAGGAGCTGGATCAGAAGTGGAGTGAACTAGCATCTATATGAGATGTTGGCACTGCAGTTGGCAGCTCAACCTGTTATATGCCACAGCATCAGCCCCATTTTTCAATATTTCATACAACAAAAATATTGTTATATCACTGTAGCTTCCTGTTATTAACTTTAAAAGACAAAAAGCTAACCATAATTTTTACATTGGAAATTAGGCTTCAAGAGGGCAATATGACCAAAAATTATCACCTAATCTTGCTGAAATTTGACTATGCAACTAGCTTTCTGTGGCGCGAGCTTCTTTGTAAATTACATAAATTATTAATTTCATAGTGACCATAACCCAGTAGAAACTGGTATGTGAATGTGTTTGTGGGTATAATAAAGTGTCAGAGATGGAGAACATATAAAAGATGAAAATACAGAGTCTTAGTCATTCAGGATTCCACCTAGTATGAACTACTTACGAATTATAAGTACATATAATTTTACTTCTCTGCAGTGGAAACCTTACTGTCGACTAATTTAAACATAATGAGCATAATTCTCTTTCATTTACATTTCAAATAAATAAACATTTGTGCTGTTATGGAAAGCAGTAAATTAGCCAGCTATAACACTGTGTACCAGACAACACATAATCTACAATAATTCTTACATCAGAAGATCCTTCACAAAGCAGCAATTATGACAGGAAGTCAAAAAAAAGATGGTATATTTTCTGGCTTTTCCATACTGGAATAACAGAATAAACTCAAGGGACCTACTATTATTACCTTAGGAAAATTTTAAAGTTTGCTCATTAATCACTGCTTTCCAGGTTAATATTCTTTTTTTTTTTTTAATTTGAAAAACTCACTCTGGTATTTATTAACATTTCCCTTCAACATTTTAATGTGAACTAGTCAGAAAAACTGAGTTAAATATTTTGAGAAGAAAAAAACAACAATGTTGCTATTAATAGATGATTCTCATTTTTTTAAAAATGAATTACATTGCACTTTGTGACACAGTTTCATAGGCTCTGGGATTCCCCCAACTCCTCCCTGTGCCCTCCCTGCATGGTGGATTCCTCCACCTTGTTGCAGTATTGCAGTTCAAATTCAGTCAAGATTCTTTCATTGCAAGCATATACCAAGCATAGAGTCCAGCATCTTATTGTCCAGATAAATTCAACGGTTTCTTGGGGAGACCATCTCTGGTCTGAAGGCAGAGCTGGCAGAATATCATCCCCATCAATTAAAAGCCACAAGTTAATATCAACAACAATTTACAACATTATGGAATTAATTGACATAGTATTGAGTAACAAATATGTTAAAAAATGCAAGTTCTTAACCACATCCTGTGACTACTTCATTGACATTTCAATTTTAGAATTTATACAACCGGATTCTACACACCTTAAAATGGCTATAGGGTACTATTCAGCTGTCTTGTGTCTATTTTCATTTTAGTATTTAGCAGTTTATAGTGTTGAAGCATAATTTTGCTGAACTTGGCAGATTTTAGGATAGTCTAAACTGACTCGTAACTCTAACAAGGCTGTTCATGTTCGTTTGTAAGCTTCAGTTACTTCTTATTATGTTACAACAGGATGAGAATATGACACAATAGTTCACTGAAAAGAAAACTAGGGTAGACAAGATAAAATTTAAAGGCCCACTGGAAGCCTATCTCTTCCTGCGTCCCTGACTGCCAAGGGAATGTGCAGGTTAACCAAACATTTTCTGTCAATAGAGTCAGATGCCATATTTCATTAGACAACTGAAGTTTGTTTACACACACAACACATACACACACACACACTCCCTTAATAACACTGATGAAACTCTTAAAAATTTTCTAGCATGAAAACATTTTTATGACATTATCTCTTAACTATGAAGTAACAGCTTTCTCCCTTGAATAAAGCACCTACCTGGCCTGTTCTGCCTCATTAAGAAAGTATTCGAAGACATTATTCATTATAATGACATCGGCATTTTGCAGAAGTGAACCCTGGGTACAGATGTCTGCGTGAAGCACCTAAATAAGAACAAGTCCACCTAAGAGATCAAGGACACCATGACATACAGCTACATAAGACCAATGCATCAGGGGACTGGCGCCGTGACACAACAGGGAAAGCCACCACTTGTGAGGCAGGCATCCCATGTGGGTGTCAGCTCATGACGCTGCAGCTTCACTTTTAACCCAGTTCCCTACTTAATGGCCTGGACAAGCAGCGGAAGGTGGTCCGAGTGCTTGGGTCCCTGAACCCACGTGGGAGACCAGGAAGAAGCTTCTGGCTCCTGGCCTAGCCCTGTCCATGGCACACATTTGTAGACAGAAACAGTGAATGATCTTTCTCTTTTCTCTCGCCCTCTTGCTGTAATTAATTTTCTTTTCTTTTTTTCTTAAGGTTTGTTTGAAAATTAATGTTACAGGGCCTAGCAGCTAAAGTCCTTGCCTTGCATGTGCTGGGATTCCATCTGGGCGCCGGTTCTAATCCCAGTGGCCTTGCTTCCCACCCAGCTCCCTGCTTATGACCTGGGAAAGCAGTTGAGGACAACCCAAAGCCTTGGGTCCCTGTACCTGTGTGGGAGACTCAGAAGAAGCTTTGGGCTCCTGGCTTCAGACTGGCTCAGCTCTGGCCATTGCAGCCACTATAGTGGAGTAAAAAAATGGATGGAAGATCTTCCTCTCTGTCTCTCCTCCTTTCTGTATATCTGACTTTTCAATTAAAAAAAAAAACTTTTTCTAAAAATAAAAAAACCAAATTATTTATTTAGTCGTAATTATACTGCTGAGTTCTAATTCAGTTCTTTCCTGCAACATCAAAGGACCTACACTCAAATCCTGACTCAATCACCAACCAAAATTTGTACTTCTAGGTAATCAGTTTCTTCATTAAGGAAATGGAACAATATCTGTATTGAATAGGAGAGGGACAATTATGCAATGATAAAAGTAGGGTTGTAAAATGGAAGGTATTAATGAAGTATGGTAACTGGCCTTATTTGACTCCTCATCTAAATTTCACTTGGGTGAATTATCTACCCTAAACAGTAAGCAAAATAATTATTTTAAACACAATCTGCCTAAAAAAAACTGCCTTAAACCACAGTTACTAAGTTTTGCAGACCACAGGCAAGAGAAAATACTTGCTTGAGCAAAACGAACACTTCTATTTTAAAAAGAATAAAGTTTGCGTCTGATGTGGTGGCTCAGTAAGCTAACCATGTCCCTGTGACACCAGCATCCCACATGGGCACTGGTTCATGTCTTGGTTGCACCACTTGTGACCCAGCTCTCTACTTGTGACCTGGGAAAGCAATGAAGATGTTATAAGACCTTGGGACCATGCACCTGTGCTGGAGACCCAGAGGAAGCTCCGGGATCATGGCTTCGGACTGGCTCACCTCCAGCTGTTGTGGCCATTTTGGGAGTGAACCCACAGATGGAAGATCTTTTTCTCTGTCTCTCAAAAGAACTTCAGAATTCCCTCTTGGACTATTGCAACTTGTGACTCTACCAACACATTTCAGAGTGCTGGTTTGGATACTGCCTGCCTGGTTTTTGATCCAGCTCCCTACTAATGGGCCTGAGAAAGCCTCAGAGTATAACCTGAGATTGTGGGACACTGCCATTCATGTAAAAACAAGGAGGGACTCTCTTGCTGTGAGCCTGACCCAGCCTTGGCTGTTTTCGGGCATTCTGGGGAGCAGGATAGAAGATCTCTCCAATGCTGTACCTTTCAAATAAGTAAATAGTGGTTTTTGTTAATATTTGTTTGAAAGACAGTATTACAGAGAGAGAAGGGGAGATATACAAGGAAAGACACAGATCTTCCACCCTGTGGTTCACACCCCAAATGGCAGAAATGGCTGCAGCTGGGCCAGGCTGAAGCCAGGAGCCAGAAGCTTTGGTTTCCGGCCCAAAGGACTTGGGCCATCTTCCATTTCTCATCCAGGATAATGAGCCAGGAACTGGATCAGCGGTGGATGAGCTGGGACTTGAACTGGCAAGCCTGTGGAATGCAATGCTGGTATGGCAGGTGGTAATCCTCTATGCTAAATGGCAGTCCCATGAATCGATGTTTTTAAAAAAATCTCTTTCTGTTCATTTTAAGGCCCCATCATTGCCAGTCTGTAGCTTCAATGAAGGAAACCTGATTTCCAGCAGACATAAGATGGTACCAAAAACCAAATCAAAACAAAACAAACAAACAATAACTTAAAAAATTACTTTCTACCATAGAATCAGTTACTACAGCTATAAAAAGTATATTGTTTTCTTTTGAAAAGATACGCTTCTCTTTTTTACACTGCATTTAAAAACTAAGATTCTTAAAATGTTCTAATTTCGGGGCCGGTGCAGCAAGTTAAGCCAGCATCTCAAATGAGAGTATTGCTTTGAGTCCTGACATTTTCACTTCAGAACCAATTTCCTGCTAATGTGCCCGGGAAAGCAGAAGATGGTCAAAATACTTGGGTCCCTGCCAGCGATGTGGGAGATGAATGGAGTTCCAGGCTTTCCGCTTCAGCCTGGTCTAGCCTCATCTGTGCAGTGACCCACAGGTGCCAAGTTCTCTCTGTCTCTCTGCCTCTCCTTTCCTTTGTCACTGCCTTTCAAATAAATGAAATAGGGTGTCTCTTTTCAAGAGGCACCTCATCTCCCATCTGTTTCCTGGGAGATGCTGTCCCCTGAGTTTACCTTTTTACTGCACAAATAAAACTTCTCTGAAAACCAACCAACAGCAAACAAAATAAAATAAATCTTCAAAAAAAAAAAAAAAGGTCCCAATTTCTAAATCTCAACTTTTCAAGTAAATTAATATTCCCGGTATGTATATCTAAAAAGTAAGAGCACTGTATTACTGTTCAGTGTATACAAGATAGTGAGAAGAGTCCATGAATTTCTACTGGACAACGAATTAATGATCATTTGCTCCTTTTTAAAAGATGAGTGAAAGATACATAATTTCCTTCTGTAAAAAAAGACTAAGGTCCGGTGCAATAGCCTAGTGGCTAAGTCCTTGCCTTGCACGCACCAGCATCCCATATGGGCACCAGATCTAATCCTGGCAGTCCTGTTTCCCGTCCAGCTCCCTGCTTGTGGCCTGGGAAAGCAGTAGAGGCCAGCCCAAAGCCTTGGGACCCTGGACCTGTGTGGGAGACCCGGAGGAGACCCTGGGCTCCTGGCTTCAGAATGGCACAGCTTTGGCCATTGCGGCAGCTTGGAGAGTGAATCAGCGGACAGAATATCCTCCTTTCGGTGCACCTGACTTGCCAATTAAAATAAATAAATGTTTAAGGAAAAAAAAAAGATGACAACTAGGTCTTTAATTCTACTGGGACAAATTATTCAATATTAGACTGTTTTTAACATCAGAGAAGCTCATCATCTACGTAATGCCATGAGAAGTATAATTATTGGGAATGGCACTGTGGCTCAACAGGCAAATCCTGCACCTATGGCACTGGCAATCCATATGGATTCTGGGTCTAGTCCTGGTTGCTCTGTTTCTGATCCAGCTCTGAAGGATGGAAGCTCCTTGGGCCCCAGTACCCATATGGAAGATCCAGAAAAAGTTTGTGACTCTTTGCTCCACTCTGGATGGGCTTAGCTCCAGCTGCTGTGGGCATTTGAGAAGCAAATTGGCAGATGGGAGATAATCTCTTTTCTCTGTCTTTCTGTAAATCTGCCTTTCAAATCAAAAGAAATAAATCCTGTTTTTATTTTCAAAGTATGATTATTAGTGAGATGATAAGGCTTACTATATTGTTTTTTTTTTTAATTTTTCACCTTTAATATTGGGTAAAAAAGGAAACTTCTGCTCCCGGCTGCTGGTGGGTCTCAGGACGGGGCGTCTCATGCCTGGATCCCAGACAACAGCCACCATGTGCACGTGGTGAGCTGTCCCCGGGCGGCCAGTGTGCCATTTGGTGCCAGGCTCCGCCTGCTGGCTGCCCAGCCAGGGAGCTCTAGGGTTTTTGTTTTTTGAATCGCTGCTTAGGTAGCTCCAGGTTGAACCCACTGTGCTTCTAGGACGTGAAGCAATCATAAAGATTCCCAATGACAGTAACTCTTCCTTTGAAAAACTTGTAACCATAACACGGGGTAAATTCTGTGAGGGTTGTGTGGGCCAAACCCTGTGGAAATTCTAGCCCCACTGGATAGTTCAACAGTTGGGGTGGTGATGGACTAAGCTAGGTGAAACCAAGGAGCCTGCCATCAATCACAGGTAAAGGAACCCCCAACAATCTGGACTGGTCAGTGCAGCAGCACCCAAATGTGCATCCTAAACAGGGTGTGGGGTGGGCAGGGCTGCAATGTTCACCAGCTCATACAAGGCCAAATGGAAGGCCAGACTTCGCTGGAACCTTGCCTAAACCCAAGGGCATGTATGAGAACTGGGTCTGGGAGTGGATTAAGTGGAGGAACTTGGGAAACTCTCTGGATGAGTCACAGCTCCCGCTGGTGAACATGTGGTCCAGTCCTGGGGGTTGGACAAGCTGGGTAAAGTAGCTCCGACAGCTGGCTAATGTGTCAACTGGTAATGGAACAGGGTAGATCAGGCAGGACTGAGCAAACCTTAGCCCACAAGCGAAACTAGAGACCAGGAGGGAGCACAGGTCATGCCGAGCTATGATCTTGCACCTACAGGCCTGCATGAGCCAGGAACGCCAAGCCACAGTGTCTAAGGCAGAGGTTGGGACAGGTGAGGGGCTGAGCCAAGCTGAGTCAGAGCAACCACTGGCATGTGTGTGATCTATGGCTGGGAACAGGCCTGGTTGGGGAGCTAAGGGAATAACCCTAGCTGGGTTGAAGTTCCCACCAAGGGGCACGTGGCCTGAAATGGGGGCTGTGTTCTGAACAGGAAACGGTTGTAGTCTCCCTTGGCACAAGTGTGGACTGGAAGAGGATGCACCAAGCCGGACCAGACTCCAACACTCTCTGGTGTCCTGGAGGATCGGGATAGATGTGCGATGGACTAGGCAAGGTCTCAAACCCCTACTGAGCCATGTGTGAGCTGTATGTGGGTATGGACAAACAATGGCTGGGCTAAAACATGCAACAGCAAGGACCAGTTTGAGTTGAAGGCCAGTCAGGAAAAGCCACTGTTCCTGCTATGACAGGAGGTGGACGGAGTAGGGCTGGCTCATGGAACCACTGGTAAGCGTGAAAACTGGCATTGGGAAAGGTTCCGATGGAGGAGCCTGGGCAACTCTTCTGGTAGGACACAGACCCGGCAGGTAAGCGCAAGAAACATGATAGGAAACAGCCCAGAACAGGCCATGGAAAGTTACCCACTGGGGCCCGGCGCGGTGGCGCAAGTGGTTAAGGTCCTCACCTAGCACGCCCGGGATCCCATATGGGCGCCGGTTCTAATCCCGGCAGCCCCGCTTCCCTTCCAGCTCCCTGCCTGTGGCCTGGGAAAGCAGTCGAGGATGGCCCAAAGCTTTGGGACCCTGTACCCGCGTGGGAGACCCGGAAGAGGCTCCTGGCTTCGGACCGGCATAGTATCGGCCCGTCGCGCTCACTTGGGGAGTGAATCATCGGACGGAAGATCTTCCTCTCTGTCTCTCCTCTCTGTATATCCGCCTTTCCAATACAAAAATAATAAAAATAAATCTTTAAAAAAAAAAAATAATAAAGAAAGTTACCCACTGGCATACATTTGGCATGGGTCAGGGGCAGACCAGGCTGAATCTGACCACATCATCCACTGGCAAATCCAAGAACCAAAACAGTGTGAGTCAAGCTGGGTTCAGTCGTGACAAAAACTAGTGCACAATACGGAATGCCAAGGTGAGGTTGCCTGTACTGGATGTGACCTCAGTGCCCAACCAGCATGCATGAGAACCAGAAAGGGAGGGGGCAGAGCCAGCAGGGGAATAACGGGTGGTTCCTTTGCTGGACAGCTACTCCCATTGGAGAGCGTGAGCTGGGATGGGGGCAGACCAGACTAAGCAGGGCTACAACGCCTGTACGCCTCATGTGGACTAGATCAGGGAAAAGCCAGGCTGGGCTGATTATTCCTAATGGTACAAACAAAATTAGAGTGGGTGAGGGTTGATTGGGCTTAGCCACAGCTGGCAGAAGCTGACACTGGGGCCTAGTTCTGTCAAGTCAAACCACAGAACTACCTGGAGAGTGCATAATCCGGGAGTGGGGATGGCCTGGGAGGGAAAGTGGGCTCCTCACTCTTGGGTTACCACTTCCTCAGGAGGGCACGAAAACCAGGACAGGGGCTGGGGTTGAATGGGGTGTGGGACAGACTGGACTACTGCTACTCATACTTGCAAACCAGGGTAGGGGGTGGGCCTGGTGGGGGTTATTATGGGTCACTACAACTAGGCTGCAGCTCCCACTTGTTTATGCGAGGGCTGAGTATGTGCTGGGCAGAACCAGGCTGGACTACAACACCCATTGGTACCAGTGGAAGTCGGGCTGAAAACAGAACCAATCCAACGATCGCAACCACCAGCTGATGAGGGCGATGGACTGTGCTAGTACATGAAAGAATCTGATCTGAGAACACCTCAGACAAAGTTTCTTTGGAGATCTCCCCAATCAAAATGCTGGACTCAGAACCCTAACTAAGAAAATATAGAAGACAGAACAGGTCAATCAACCTTCTCAGCTATATGTTGGCAGCGAAATACGGGGCAAACAGAGACTGTATGATGGACTATGTCAATCAGTGGATTCTTCAAAGACCTCATAGTGCTTGGAGTGGCAGGATTGGCAATGATTTATTTATAACTGGTGAACTATCAAAACCACTGGAGCAAGAACCCTGGAGCATACCCTACATCCAGGACCTGGGAAATTGGGTGGGCCTTCTCCTTTAATACCCCCCTTTAAACATGAACGAAACAATGTGGAAATAATAGTCTTACCCACTTTCCTATAAGCCCTTGAACATTTTTACCCTAATTAACTATGCAAAGATTGTAAAAAATATAATAAAAAAAAGTTATATTTTAAATATTCTGTCTACTAAAACAATGACAAACATGTGTAATGCTACATGTTAATTACTTTAAGTTGGCCATTCCATGTATCTAAAAATCGTGCTGTATGCCATTCCCACCAAGTTAAAAAAAAAGAAAAAAAGGAAACTTCTGGTGTAGCCTAACCAACCCAGAAGATCTGCTATAGAAGTATGAACTGCTATTCCTGGCATCCACAAGACCTCCAAAAAAGCTAAGAAGGCAAAGAATTGTGCAGATTAAAAAATGCTTTAACATTCTGGGCTTAGGGCCCGGTGTTATAGTGCAGTGGTTAAAAGTCCTCGCCTTGAGTGCACTGGGATCCCATATAAGCGCCGGTTCTAATCCCAGCAGCTCCACATCCCATCCAGCTCCCTGCTTGTGGCCTGGGAAAGCAGTCAAGGATGGCCCAAAGCCTTGGGACCCTGCACCTATGTGGGAGACCCGGAAGAAGTTCCTGGCTCCGGGTTTCAGACTGGCTCAGCTCCAACAGTTGTGGCTGCCTGAGGAGTGAATCATCAGATGGAAGATCTTCCTCTCTGTCTCTCCTCCCCTCTGCATATCTGCCTTTCCAATTAAAATAAAAAAAAAGGTCTTAAAAATTCTGGGTTTAAATAAATGTATTTGTAATCAATATCTAGAGATCCAAAAATGTAGGTACCAAGACAATACCTAACATTAAAAAAATAAAATTAGAAAGAGAAATACGTGAAAGGGTCATACTTACAATTCATCTCTACCGTACTAACTACTGAAGTCATTCATTTCTATGCAATGGCAACCAAGTTTCGATAGGCAATAAGGCAGAAGACATAAGTTTAAGCAAAAAATGGATGAAAGAAAATACAATTTAAAAGATACCTTTATTCTGTCACTGAACTGGTATTTCTGTATGACCATTTCCTGCAACTGGCAAAAATCTCCATTCAGTTCCACTCCACAGAGTTGTGCTGCTGAACTGTACAGATAACCCTAAAATAAAAAGACACATAGTGGTGTAAAAGGATTCATATTTAACTATGAGTTTATTTCCACTTAAAGCTTCAAAATCCAAACTAAAAAATATTCAATAAAGTAAGATAAAAAGCATCTTGTAGTTTTTGTAAAGGAACTTCAAAAGTTAACAATGACTGACCAAGGCTTTGTACCATTTTAATTCGCATTATGTGATTATATTTTATCTTTTAAAAAATGTCTCCTTAACCTCTTTAAAAGGCAATGACACACACACTGAGCAAGAGTGAGAGCAAGATAGAGACAGCTTCCACATGCTCCCTCAATCCACAAATGTTCCTAACAGCCAGAGCTGGCCAGATACAGCCAGGAGCCAGAAGTTCACCTGGGTCCCCCACGTTGGTGGGAGGGGCCCATTTTAACCCTAACTTACTGGCCCCCCAGGACACATTAGAGAAAACCAAACTGGAAGCAGAGCAGCTGAGAATTTAACTGGCACCAGGATGTGGGATGCAAGCGGCATTTTGAAAACTGATTTATTATTATTATTATTTTTGTAACAATTAGGTATTCAATAAAGCTGGAAATTTGAAAGTGATTACATATAGATTCTCTAATACACAACTTCTGCAATTTCTTGGAAATTTACAGTAAGAGAAAGCAACAAAGGAGTTAAATTGTGGGAAATATAATGAAAAATTACATGCTGTCTGTTGCTAAGCAAGGCTTGAGGTGTACACCATCTGGCATGGGGAAGTAGTCTATTGCCTGGCAACTGGCCAAAGATAAGCAAAGAAATAGCTGATAAAGAATTAACTATATGCTTATTTTTAGTAGCAAGAAAAAAATAATTTGTTGGTTAAGATTTATTTTTATTTGAAAGGAAGATTTACACAGAAAGGAGGAGAGGGAGAGAGAGATCTTTCATCCACTGGTTCACTCCCCAAAAGGCTGCAATGGCTACAATGGTTGTAGCTAGGCTGGTCTGAAGCCAGGAGCCAGGAGCCAGGAGGTGCTTCATGGTCTCCTAAGTGGGTGAAAGGGTCCAAACACTTGGGCCATCTTCTGTTGCTTTCCCAGGCCTTTTGCATGGAGCCAGAATGGAAGCAGAGTTGCTGGGACTTGAACTGAATGTTGGCACTACAGGCAAGGGCTTAACTTGCTAAGCTACAATGCTAGCTCTGAAACAATGACTTATAATTGAAGGTCAAATCATTTTCTGAAGATAATTTTGTATCAATTTATGTGAAAATCAAACTGTATCTATAGGACCTGGCACAATAGCCTTGTGGCTAAAGTCCTTGCCTTGCATCCACCAGGATCCCATGTGGGCACTGGTTTTTATCCTGGCTGCTCCAATTCCCTTCCAGCTCCCTGCTTGTGGCCTGGGAAAGCAGTAGAGGCCAGCCCAAAGCATTGGGACCCTGCACCCACATGGGAGACCCAGAGGAAGCTCCTGGCTCCTGGCTTCAGATCAGCTCAGGTCTGGTCGTTAAGGACACTTGAGGAGTGAACCAGCAGATGGAAGATATCTCTCTGTAAATATGCCTTTCCAATAAAAATTAATAAATCTTAAAAAACAAAAAAAAAAAAAAGGAAGAAAAAAACCTTCAAATTGCATCAATAGGGATTAGCATTGTTATGCAGTGGGTAAAGTCACCATCCTCTACAGTGTTCCTGCTATTCCTTCTCATCTACCTGTTTGCTAATGGCATGGGAAAAACAGTGGAAGATGGCCCAAGTACTTTGGCTTCTGCTACCCAAGTGGGAGACCTGGAAGAAACTCTTGGTTTTGGTCTGACCCAACCCTGGCCATTGCAGCCATTTGGGGAGTGATCCAATAGATGAAAGATCTTGCTATAATTCTGACTTTATTAAAAAATATAATAAATTAATAGCCTATCATGGATCTACAGAATATATCTACCAATGCATATATAGTTATTTAAAAAATCTAGTGATCCAGTCACTGACATGATAGGGCAAACGAAGAGGTTATTTGGGTTTATCAACACTGACACTATATGTGTATATCCAGTTTAGCTAATTCAATCTTATACTTTTTGAAAAAGTCAGAAAATTGACAGCAAATAGTTATTTTCCAAACAAAAGCTATCTGACAAATTATATTTTCTTTTATGGCTATTTTTTTTCTAATTACAAAATAAAAGTTTTAATAGTGAAAATGAAGCATCAAAGAGTTAACAGTTTCTGTCTAAAGCAGGAAAGATGCTGGGAAATGATAGTGCCTATTTCTGGCATGAACTTCTCTCTCGGCTGTTCGCCACATGTTCGAATGAGTCTACTAATGACAACCAGAGTCCACATTCCAGCTTTTGATAAAACTGTCTGAAAACATTAGAAATCCTCATGATTTAAATAAAAAGAAAAAAAAAAACATCAAAAGGCTACACTGAGGTGAGATGGCTCTGAAACAAGCATCTGTAAGTCTTCAACAGTAGAAAAATCAAAGCAGGAGCCCCTGGAGACAGAATTTGCAGACCAGAGGTGTTAAAAGACCTGCTGATGGCCACATCGCTACTTCTGTGGTCAAGTAAATGTGTCAGTTTTCTAAAGCTTAGCATACTATTTTAGGTCAGTACAAAGAAAAAGAGGAGTGGTTGACAAAATAGTGAAGTGCTATGAAAGTGACATGCTTCTGTTTGGTTTGCTTCTATTCGTTCATTTGTATTGCCAGAGACAGATTAGTAAAAGAAATCAGGCACTCCTTCTCAAACTGCAAATTCAATTACCATCAAATTGAATGTATATGCCCATCTATGTTGTATTATTTCAACCTTGTTATTTTATTATGTTCATACATAAAGCCATGCTGTCACCTTGCATGGTGGCAGGCAAAGCTACTGCTAGCAGAGTAGAAAGTAGTTTCCATGTGTTGAATATGTCTGCATGCTGCACTTTACCCCATAAAGAACTGTGCCAAGCCTGGAGCCGACATCCACCAAAATCTTTCCGGACAGATCAGGGAGTACATGATGATAAATGAACTTCAATTCCATGAGGGAGAAGGAGTGAGAAATAAATCCTGGAGAATCAGAATAAGAATGAACATCAAACTGTGCTGGAATACTAACCCAAGTCAGCTTTCTTTAAGAAAAATCCACGAGTGCCCAGCCCAGTACAGTAGCCCACTGGCTAAAATCTTTGCCTTGCATGCGCTGGGATCCCACATGGACACTGGTTCATATCTTGGTTCCTCTACTTCCCTTCCAGCTCCCTGCTTGTGACCTGGGAAGGCTGCAGAGGATGGTCCAAAGCCTTGGGACCCTGCACCCGTGGAGGCTCAGAAGAAAACCCTGGCTTCTGGTTTTGGATTGGCTCAGCTCTGGCCGTTGTAGCCACTTTGGGAGTAATCAGTGGATGAAATATCTTCCTCTTTGTAAATGATTTTCCAAGAAAAAAGAAATAAGTCCCCCCACCCCCAAAGCCATGAAATATACTTTATAAATATAGGTGGAAGAATGTACTGTTATAATTTTTACTCCCTTCTGTCTTGTTCTGGCCAAGCTTTTTTTCATTGTATGAATTTCAACTACCTCAACAGAAATTGTAAGTTTTATTTGAACACAGATTCCTAGACCAAGCAAGTTTAATCCCAATCTGTAACACAGGCACGGTATATTTGTGTTAACATATTCCAAATTTAGAAGCAGTTAACCTTGGAGAACTATATTAATGAAGATCAGTAATGTAAGCAAGAGAGTACGACTCAGCTGGAAGACCAGCCCACTCTAAATATCAACTCTATATCTAAACAAGCAGGGAAATTAATGTTAAAGCAACAGCTTGCACAATCATGTCCAAATTGAACAATGACTATTTTAACAGGAGAACTAACGCGTTCACAGCATGGAGTCACTAGTGTTGTCCCTGCAGTGATGCTGTTAGGTATCACCGACGCTTCACTGATCAAAACGTGGTCTGAATAAACTCTTTTTCAAGATTTTCTGTCTCTGTCCTCTTAGGTTAGCCAGGCCTGCCTAACATTATCTGATCACTCTATAACTTTTATTTTTTTATTTTAGATTTAATCTATTTTTTTTTAAATAAGTCAGATATACAGAGAGAGGAGAAAAAGAAAGATCTTCCACCTGCTGGTTCACTCCACAAGGTAGAACAGTTGGCCTCCTTGGAAGTTATATTCTCACTATTTACTGAATCAACATATGTGGAATATGATTAAATCTCCTATATTTAATGAGTCCTAATTAGTTTCTGAACCTGAAGCGTCACCTCTGATTGAATCGTTTCTAGATAGGAAAAACTGTTCAGAGCTGTGTCCTCTGTGTCCCAGGGCACAGTAAGTGGCTTAGCTTCCCTGGATTATTTATTTCATCTTCCTAACTGCAATACTTAGTAACGGTCATGCTGCAGGCTGGCCTTCTGCTTTCTAAAACCAACGAATGGCTTGCTCAAAAATTCACACTGTCATGACATTTAAGAAAAGTACACACAAAGCCGTTGGGTTTGCACACCTGAGAGCCTACCTAAAGGTGCTGTCTGGTGTGAGCCACATACTGTACAGTAGTTTCTGCTCATTTTTCCTTTTTCACATAATGAATCAATAAAATCTTCATCATAAAGAAATGCATCAACGTGAACTGTAGGTTCTGGCTGCTCCTGCAACTGGTGGAGAGAGAGGAAAAAAAAAACATCAAAAGAAATGAAGTACAAAGAGATCTCTCTCTACTGCTAAAAAAGGCAGAACATCAGGGTTCATATGCCAGAATTCTGGGGGCAAGAACAAGGCATGAAGTTTGAACTATTTTAAGCTGACAATTCTGCTCTTGTATTTCAGTTGAGATACTACCAACCTTTTGTATGACTTGGCATGATAACAAAACAGTAGGAAAAAATGTAAAAAAGTGGCAGTTACAAGGAACATTAGAGAACACCTTGTTCATCTTAAGTAGTATACAAAGAAATGGACACACAGAATTCTAACATTACTAGGAAGGGCTGCTAAAGTCGAAACTAAGGCTAGGTCTTTTGAGTTCCATGTGTTAGTCTTACCATCAAAGCATCTAGAAGTAGGGCCCAGCACAGTAGCCTAGCAGCTAAGGTCCTCGCCTTGCACATGCAGGGATTCCATACAGGTATCAGTTTTAATCCTAGTGGTCCCGCTTCCCATTCCCTGCTTGTGGCCTTGTAAGCCAGTCAAGAATGGCGCAAAGTCTTGGGACCCTGTACCAGTGTGGGAGATCTGGAGGAACCTCCAGGCTCCTGGCTTTGGATTCGCTCAGCACCGACCCTTGTAGCTGCTTGGGCAGTAAATCAACTGATGGAAGATTTTCCTTTCTGTCTCTCCTCCTCTCTATATATCTGCCTTTCCAATAAAAATAAATAAATCTTTAAAAAAAAAACAGTACCATGCACATTATAAACACTTAACAAATCTTAGTAAACACCCTCACATTCACAGCGATTTTTCAAAGGAGGAAAATAATGGGAGAATAAAAAAAAGAAATATTAATAATGTGCTTAACGCTCTCAGTAAAATAGTTTTATGAACGTCATATCCCAATATGTAAAATAAAAGAAAAGGTACTAATGATATGTTAATGATTCGTCCACAATCTCTTTTCATCCTAAGTTAAACTTTTTTTTAATCTTCCTTGATTTCTTTATTATTCTCGTGTATGTTCACACCTTATTTTTGGTGAATTTTTATGTGTAAACAAGAATTTTTAGGTATTTGAGCAGGATTTTGTATTACGGTTAGTAAAATAAATCAGACCGTTTTTTCTTTGTAGCCTCTTACTATTACATTGAAACCTCAAATATTAGCAGAGAGTTCTAATAACAATTTTGCTGTTGGGAAACAGCAGAAAGAAAACCAGGACAGCGATATAAGCAGAGCCAGACTGTTGGCATTTGTCAGATCAAGATTATTTCTAAGACTTAAAAACAAAAATAAAAACAACAATGAAAAATCTGAGACAGAGAGAGAAAACAGAAAGGATGTATTCCTACCCACTGATTCAATCACCAAATGTAACAGATGGGACCTGATCAGGAACTAGGAGCCAGGAACTTAATTCAGGTCTCCTGGGTGGGGGGTAGGAATCTAATTACTTAAGCCACCACCTGCCACTATCCAGGGTCCATGATAGCAGGAAATCGGAATAGGGAGCAGGAGCTAGGTCCCAGCTGCAGACACTCTGATACAACACATGGGCATACTGAAAAGGTAGACTTTACAGAGAGTAGGAGAAACAGAGAGAGATCTTTCATCTGCTGGTTCACTCCCCAAATGGCTGCAAGGCCAGAGCTGAGATGATTATAAGCCAGGAGCTTCTTCTGGGTCTCCCATGTGGATGCAAAGACCCAAGGCTTTGGCCCATTCTCTAATGCTTTCTCAGGCCACAAGCCGGGAGCTGGGTCAGAAGTGGAACAGCTTGGGCCTGGCGGCATGGTCTAGCAGTTAAAGTCCTCGTCTTGAACGCACCAGGATCCCATATGAGCACCGGTTCTAATCCCGGCAGCTCCACTTCCCATCCAGCTCCCTGCTTGTGGCCTGGGAAAGCAGCCAAGGACGGCCCAAAGCTTTGGGACCCTGCACCCGTGTGGGATACCCAGAAGAGGTTCCTGGTTCCCAGCTTCATCGGCGAAGCGCTGGCTGTTGCGGATACATGGGGAGTGAATCATTGGACAGAAGATCTTCCTCTCTGTATATCTGACTTTGTAATAAAAATAAATAAATCTTAAAAAAAAAAAAAAAAGTGGAGCAGCAGAACATATATCAGTGCCCATATGGGATACTGATGCTTGCAGATAGAGCACTGAGCCATCATGCCAGCCTTTAATTAGTGTATATGGGCATTTTAGCTCGTGTCTTAATCACTTGGTCTAATGTCCACTTTTAATTTTGGAGTAACAAATAGGATCTTTAATTAAAAAAAAATGCTAAACGACTAATACTGAGGGACCAAAGGGATTGAGGACTCCAAAGATTCAGGCTCAGGGCTGAACCACTAAAGGAGCTGAAGTTGGAATTTGACAGGAGATGCAGAACAGGTGTATGAAGAATGATGTAACTGAATGCATTTACTTTTCGAATGGCCAGATGTTCTGAGGAGAGCATGGTTTCTAGAGGCAAGCAGCTACGAAGGTCTTCTGCGATGCTTTTCAATATGACATCATTATTCTCTTCAGTGAGCTCATCAAAATCTCCTGAAAAGGAACAGGAAGAAGTGACTCTTAGCATGGATGTATAAGTTGTCCTTATAATGGATGTATTTTTCATCAGGTAGCATCTATTTATAACAATAAACTAATGACAAACTCAAATCTTGACACACAAGTTTTATCTTAAAATATTGTTTTTTTTCTTTTTCCAAATTGTTAGTTATAGAAATGTAAAAGCTCTTTTAAAAAATTACAGCATCCATGGACCCGGTGCTATAGCGTAGTGGTTAGTCACCGCCTTGCACGCCCAGGATCCCATGTGGTCGCTGGTTCCAATCCCGGTGGCCCTGCTTCCCATCCAGCTCCCTGCTTCTGGCCTGGGAAGGCAGTTGAGGATGGCCCAATGCCTTGGGACCCTGCACCCGTGTGGGAGAACCGGAAGAGCTCTTGGCTCCTGAATTCGGATTGGCTAAGCTTCAGCCACTGTGGTCACTTGGGGAGTGAACCATCAGACAGAGGATCTTCCTCTCTGTCTCTCCTCCTCTCTGTATATCTGCTTTTCCAATAAAAATAAAACAAAAATTTTAAAAAAATATATAGCATCATAGGTATTTAAAAATTTTTAGGGACATCTAAGCATGGTAGGCTAAGCTACTGCCTGTGACACTGGCATCCCATATGGGTCTCGGTTTGTGTCTCAGCTGCATCATCTCTGATCCAGCTCTCTGCTAATGTGTCTGGGAAGTTAGCAGAAGATGGCTGAAGTACCTGCTACCTGCATGGAACTCCTGGCTTCTCCCTGGCCCAGTCTAAGCTGTAGTGACCCTCTAGGGAGCAAACCAGTGAATGGAAGATTTCCTTTTCTAACTGTAACTTTCAAAATAAATAATTAAAAACAACACTGTCAGTTTTTTTTTAAAGAAGTATTTATTTGTTTGAAAGGCAGAGTATTGTGAATAGGGGTGAGGAGACAGAGCGAGTGAGTTCTGCCATACGCTGCTTCACTCTCTAAATGGCTGCAACAGTTAGGGCTGAGCCAGATCAGAGCCAGGAGCCAGGAACTCCATCTGGGTCTTGCAGGAGGGTGGCAGGAGCCCATTCCCTTGGGTCAACATCTGCTGCCTTCCCTGGCGCATTAGCAGGGAGCAGACTGGAACTGGAATAACAGATTCAAACACACTGTGATATGGGATACTGGCATCACAAGTGGGGCCTTAACCTACCGTACCACACCTGTAACGGGATGGTGGTCCATATCCCACTGCTCCAATTATGATGTACCTCCTTACTAATGCACCTGGGAAAGCATCAAACGAATGCCTAAATCCTCAGGTCCCTTCACCAACATGGGAGACCTGGATGGAGCTCCTGTCTCCTGGCTTCATCCTGGCCCAATCCAGGTTGCTATGGTCATTTGGAGAGTCAACCAGCAGATGGAAGACACCTCTTTTTCTTTCTTCTATTGTACCTTTGAAATAAACAAAAGAATTTTAAATAAGGCAACCTTAATCTGAGTATTCTTAACTTTAATAAAATGTACCCGTGACTTCAAATGAGAAACACCAACATCCTAACAATCAGGTTGCTTTGCTGTACTAAAGCACATAAGGTAATAATTAAAATAGCATGTTTCGAGGGTTGACACCATGATTTGGTAAGAAGGCTCAGCTTTGGGCCCAGCGCGGTGGCGCAGTGGTTAAGGTCCTCGCCTTGCACGCCCAGGATCCCATATGGTCGCCGGTTCTAATCCCGGCAGCCCTGCTTCCCATCCAGCTCCCTGCCTGTAGCCCGGGAAAGCAGTCAAGGACGGCCCAAAGCTTTGGGACCCTGCACCTGCATGGGAGACCCAGAAGAGGCTCCTGGCTTCGGATCGGCATAGTATTGGCCATTGCGCTCACTTGGGGAGTGAATCTTCGGACGGAAGATCTTCCTCTCTGTATATCCGCCTTTCCAATTAAAAAAAAAAAAAAAAAAAAAAAAAAAAAGAAGGCTCAGCTTCCTCCTGTGGTGCTGGCATCTATAAGGGTGCTGGTTGGAGTCCCAGCTACTCCATTTCCAATTCAGTTCCTGCTTATGGCCTGGGAAAGCCTCATGCCCTTTTTAACCCTGCACCCATGTGGGAGATCGGAAAAGGTCCTGGCCCCTGGCTTTAGATCAGCTCAGCTCTGGCTGTTGTGGCTACTTTGACAGTAAACCAGCATTGAAAGCTCTGTTTCCTGTATCTATAACTGCCTTTCAAATAGAAAGTAAATAAAATAAATCGTAAAAATTATCATTTTAAGTAGTTTATGCACAACTTAAAATCTGACTCAGTTAACAAAATATCTTGAAGTCAGTTGCTGTCCAGGATGCCAAATGCAGTCTAGAGGGTTCTGAACAGTTGGACCTGGTCAGGAGCTAGGAACAAGGGCATGTTTCAGACATGGGTGGCAGGAACCTAACCAGTTAAGCTACCGTCTGCTGCTTCCCAAGGGTATTGGCAGACCACTGGAGTGAGGAGCCAGTGCTGGATGTTAAACCCAGGCGCTGTAATATGAGACGCTCCAAGCGGCATGGTTGTCACTACGCCAAATATCCATCCCGCCCTTGAAAGACTGTACCTTTCAGATGAAAATAATAAAAACTTAAAGTGAGAGAAAGTGCAAGAGCAAGAGAGATCTACTATCTGTTGGTTCACTTCTTTTCTCTTTTTTTAAAGATTTATTTATTTATTGGAAAGTCAGATATACAGAGAGGAGGAGAGACAGAGAGGAAGATCTTCCATCCCATGATTCACTCCCTAAGTGAGTGCAACGGTTGATGCTATGCTGATCTGAAGTCAGGAGCCAGGAACTTCCTCCAGGTCTGCCACGTGAGTGCAGGGTCCCAAGGCTTTGGGGCTGTCCTCAACTGCTTTCCCAGGCCCCAAGCAGGGAGCTGGATGGGAAGTGGAGCTGCTGGGATTAGAATTGGCACCCACACGGGATCCGGGTGCGTTCAAGGCGAGGACTTTAGCCGCTAGGCCATGCCGCCAGGCCCTGTTGGTTCACATCTTAAGTGTCAGCTAAAACCAGGCTAGAGCCAGGAGCCCGGGCCTGTATCTGGATCTCCTGTGAGTGAACAGAGACTGAAGCTCTGTTTTTTTTTTTTTTTTTTTAAGATTTATTTTATTCTTATCGGAAAGTCAGATATAAAAAGAGTAGGAAAGACAGAGAGGTAGATCTTCTGTCTGTTGATTCACTTCCCAAGCGGCCACAACTGAGCTGATCCAAAACCAGGAGCCAGGAGCCTTCTCTAGGTCTCCCACATGGGTCCCAAGGCTTTGGGCCCAAGGCTTTGGGCCATCCTCGACTGCTTTCCCAGGCCATGAGCAGGGAGCTGGATGGGAAGTGGGGCTGCCAGGATTAGAACTAGTGCCCATACTAGATCCCGGCACATGCAAGGTGAGGATTTTAGCCACTAGGTTATTGCGCCAGGCCCAAGATTGAAGCCTTTAACCAACATATGCAGCTTCCCAGGGTACACATTAACAGGAAGCAGAGTGGCTGGGACTCAAACCAGACACAGGATGCCGGTGCTACAAGAGCCAGCCAAGCCACCACGCCAGTCCCAAAACACATTTTTCCATTGACTTCTTACTAGGGCAAGAGAATCCCAGAGGAATTGTGTCTTTCTGCTTGTTTAAAAATAGCTATAAAAGGAAAGCCAGCACATCCTGATGGAAATGACATCCACTCCACATACCCTCAATTCTTAAGAAAGTTCTTGGTACTTCTTAAGCATACAATGATTTTTTGTTGTTGTTCATAAAGATGCCTTCATGTTACTAGTAACATCTGAAATTTTAACAATGCTTTACAGAAAAGAAATCATTTGAATACAACCACATGCTTGTGAGGAAGACAAAGCAGGATACGTTTACAGATTAGGAAACTGAGGCTTCTGAGGTTAAAGGAATTTCACAAGTTGCCAAGCAGGCTGCACAAGGACCTAATGATTGCCAGGAACACATACTCCCCTTTTTCACTGTACCAGCAGACCCACACTCGGAGATGACTTCTCTGCCTATCTGCTCCTGGAGCCAGAGCCGTTAAGACCAAGCTGTATTACTTGGCTCTCTTGGAACTCTGAACTGGGAAGTCCTGGCAACTGTTTTTTTTTTCTTTCTTCACACATTTAGTCTAATATTCTAAGCTAATGCGTCAGATAATTTTTTAAAAGGTTTATTTATTTTTAATAAATAAAAAGATCAGATCTATGGAGAGAAGGAGAGACAAAGAGAAAAATCTTCCATCTTCTGGTTCACTCCCCAGATGACTCCAGGCCCAAGCTGGAGCTGGGCCAATCTGAGGCCAGGAGCTAGGGTTTCTACATGGGTGCAGGGTCCTAAGATGTAGGGCCATCCTCCTCTGCTTTTGCAGGCCATAAGCAAGTAACTGGAAGGGATGTGGAGCAGCCAGGAAACAAACTGGTGCCCACATGGGATCCTGGCACTTTTGAGGTGAGGATTTAGACACTGAGCCACTGCATAGAGTCCAGCTTTAGATAATTTCTAGAACAAAATACAAATCAAAAAAAAGTAAAACTATCATTCATACACATTCTAAATTGTTTTAGGTGGAACTGAAATATCATCTTCAAGATGTTTCCCCACATCAACTGGGCTTTTCATCATACTTCTAAAATCTAATTAAAATTTCCCAAGGTGCTAATTCAAATCTAATGCCTGCTTAATTTCCTTCCACAGACAGGCTATATGGGAATTTCTATGCCTCAAATTCAATGCTAAAACACTATTCATACTAGTGGTTTTTGGCAAGTTCTCTCAATTTGTCAAGTGGTATAAAGGAGTCAATATGAATCTCATTAAAGCAAGCGCAAATATTTTAGGGTCTAACTCCTTTGGATTTAATCCTGTAACATAAACAGCCATGTCAAAACAAAAACAATATAATAATAATTTAAAAAACCACAAAAGCACAGCTTCCACATGGGCTTGAGTTATAAAATGAAAGACTTGAGTGGAAAAAGAACATGAGCTCAAATTGAATGGCAGAATACTGAAT